AGAAAGGCGAGGCTCACCACCCATTTATCCCTCCGCCTTTCAATTAGCCCCACATATGATTATCGGCCAGGCTGGCACAATTAACTAACTCACACCCATTTTGTCTTTGGTGATTGTGTGATGAGGTGAGTATCATACAATACCACATTATTAGAACAAACCATTCTTGTACTCAGGTAAGACTTAAGTAGGGGCCCAAAGTCCACCTGCTTCCTTGTTGTATTTACATAGATACACATATATAAAAAGACACCTATATTTACATATTTACATATCTATATATATCTATATATTTCCCTTTCTTCCTCTTTCCTCTTTTTTTTTCTTTCCTTCTGCCCCACTATCATGTTTCCCATCATTCACCTTTCAGTTAAAATTCAATTGATCAAACATGGCCAGAAAAGCTACACTTTCCTTGCCATCATTTTAGGACCCTACTTATTCCCCTGTCCTGTCATTATTATCTCACTGCTCATCTCCCCCAACCCCTCTCCCCATCCCAAGGCCACCTGTTCCATTGCTGTCTCCACAGGATCACCTATCCTGCCTATCTTGTACAGATAAATATCATACAAAGAAAGACTGGCCATACAAACAGACCCAAGTCTAACAGGGATCCTGTCACAGAGCAGATGAATATCTCTCTGTGAAACAGTGAGAGCTGGACTAATCCATCAGTCCAGTCCCCTTTTCTTTCAGAGTTCCATATCCCAGGATCAGCTTACCCAACAACACGTAAACCTTTTTAGTCTTCAGAATTTGGGTCCAAAATGTGAACATCCTAAATGTCCCCATTGCTGTTCCTGCAGTCAGGGATGGAACAGTCTACTGTCTACCCCACCCCCACCCAATTACACTTTTAGATTTTCAAGTGTGGCCATATTCAAAGTAGTCCTCTGTAGCTTTGTCATCTAGGGAGAGGATGTCATGTCTCCAGGTGAGGCTGGCACTACACTCATCTCCAGAAATGAGCTGCTCTGAGCAGGAACATTTCCCTCAAGGACTGGCATACCAGAATGAGGTCTACTCTCACCCTTTCCTGTGGAGATAGAAACAATACCTTCCCGTTGGGTGGGTTAGTGCCCTCCATTGCCATCTATTCTCTTCCCCCACCCCTCTGTGGACCTTAAAGACATATGGGTTAGGGGGGCAGATGCTTTTCAGAAGATTTTCCCAATGCATTCCATTTATTACTCTCTAGACTGCTGCTTCTACAGCATTGATTATGGATCCAAGCAAGATGAAATCCTTGACAACGTCCTAGTAAAGTAGAGTCAGCAAAGAAGAATACACTCAATGAGATGGATTAACAAAATGACTATAGCAATGGCCTTACACATAGCAACAGTTGTTAAGACGGTACAGGATGGTCATGTATCTTTCAATACCCTATCTTGTACCCGATGGGCCAGTATGAATCAGAAAAGAACCCCAACAACTTAGTGACACCTAACAAGAAGAAAGCAAACTGCCTTCGATATTGGTTTCTCTCTCTTTCTCTCTTTGAACCACTACCCTTATGATTAGCAGTCCAAATAGTAGCCAGCTGTACAAGAGCTCCTTTTTTTAGGCCAGAGACACATGAAACTTTATTCTTTCTCAGGCTTTGAGTACATTTATCTAAAAGCACTTTTTGTTATTTAATCCACAGAATTTAGGGGAAAAGGTTATGGTGTTTTGATACAAAAGGGGCAAATATGTTGCCTATTCTATTTTTACTCGAGAAGATCATATATTGCAATATGCTTAGAGAAAATCTCGACATTTCCAATCTGAATTCAATTGTTGCCAGGTGCTGGTGAGTCCAATGGTGGTAACATACAATGTAAAGACCTGCGAATGCAGTGACTTTAATCATCGCCGATACTTTAATTTTTCTTTGTTTGTCGTCAGTGGTAAAGCAGCATATAATTGTAAAATCATGTCTAAGCTCGTGTCTGTTTTCAAGCTAGTTCTACACTTTAAATCCCAAGTAGAAATACCTTGGCTATTGTGGAATAAGCTAATGAAAAACTGTCTGCACCACCAACCGGCTTATTGCGAGGCTCCTGGGAGCAGATGTGGACTGAATAACAGTCAAGACCACTTTTGCTGGAAAATTGAAAAAGAGACACTCTTTCCTCCCACGCCCTTCTTGAAACTCTTCAATTATTCCAGACTCACAAAGGCTCCACAGGGTCAGTTTGATTTCGCTGTGTCATATTTCTGAGCAGAATATACTTGACCATGCCTTTCCTTTTCCTTATAAGTTTCATTTTCTCTTCTTTTTCTTTTTTTTTTGAATAACATATAACCATGACATTATACTGAAATTAAATAAATAAGAAGGCCTATTTATACATAAACTGAATTTACTGGGAATTCAATTTGAAAGAACGAAAAAAGAGTATCTATTTTTCATAAAATATCATTTATAGCATGTATGACTTATTTTTCTCAAAATATTATGACATGACATATTCTCCTTCTAGGTTTATACACTTTTGAAGACGGTAATTCCATTTCTATATTTCTAGGGTTTTAGGTCCATACCATGTCAAAATGGCAGTGTCAGCATCCACGAAAGACTCATGTGATGTCCCTTTAACAAGTATTGTAAACAGTCTGTGAGTTTTTTGAGGCTACAAGAGATCTGAAGCGGTAATGTCTGGCTGTAGAGTGAAGGTCGTAAGGTTTCTCACGGACATTCTTATAGGACAGGCTTGGAAATCCAAAGAAACAATTTTACCCACTACAAGGTCTGTCTGACTCACAATCAATTTGATGGCAGTGAGTTTGAATTGTTGTTGCTTTAAAAAAATCATAGTGAGCTATAATTAGCACATCACAAAATGTAATCATGTAATGTTATATGCAGGGGTTGTGCATATAACTTTGGAATTTTTTCTTTATTCCTGTACCCATTGATGCCGACTTCTCATTTAACCTACTCACCTCTTCCTTCCCCCCAAGAAATCATCAATCCAATGACTGCCTTGATAATAACAATTTGAAATGTTTCCAGAATTTGTGTGTCATTCTTGTACAGTGCCAAACTTTTCTTTTCTGATTCCTTCCAATTTCAGTATAATTTATCACTGCTAAGAGAATCTCTGAGACCTACATTAATCTTTACTATTTATTAGATTTTCCTATTAACTATAGCTACTCTAAATCTTTATTAGTTATAAATAAGATGGTATTTACCAACATAAGAACAAGCATAGAAAATAGTTTCCCATATCATAAGGCATAATAAAAGAATTATTTAGTAGCAATGGAAAGGAGTTATGAAAACACACTAGAAACAACAACAATAACACCAAGAGAAGCAGAGTTGCTGTAACATTGTTTGTATTTAGTGTGTGTGTGAGTTTTGGTTAATCAATTGAAGTCTATTTTACTTGTTTTCTCATTTTGAAAATAAGCATTAAATTGCACACATACCTGTGCGTGCACAGATATACGCATACATTGATACAGGTGAAAATAGATATTATTTAAATATATGTAAGCATATAGATATAACTTAAATTTGTAAACATACTGATACAAATATGTGCATACCTTCATATCAAAGCTATTTCTAACCAACAAAATGAATAGTGTTCCCTATAAAGACCACAGAATAGTTACTTATGTCAATATTTAAAATAAGTATTTCTTAGATTTTGTGCATATTATCAATGTATATTTTCACAGTATATAATCAAAATAACTAAGGCAGTTTTATGTACATTGTAACTCCCAATTATAAACTATGCTGATAATTTGAAGTGGTATTATATTTTATATTTAGACCAACCATATATATTTTTTTACTAAAAAAAATTATCGCTCAAATATAAAGGAACTTTCAAGAAGTTCTGAGCACACTGCAGCTAAGGTCCTGAATAGATCCACTTTAATCTGTTGTAAGAAATGCTCCCAAGTCAGGGTAAAAGCCTATAATAGGATTATTAACATAAGAAATATACAAAGGAAAGATTTAAAGCACCCATTTGAATGACCCAGGAATCAGTTCCTAAAAATCTGATCATTTAAATCCTTTTTTAATAATGGATATAATACTGCTTATTGGAGGTTATGGGTAAAATAATGTCTTATGTCTTTACTATATGCATCCTTAATATTACTCTTTTGTGAGATTCCAGTTGCATATTTTAATATATTGTCAATTAACTTAAGATAGCAAAAAACATTGCCTTAATTATTACTTTGATCAATTATTTTTATGTGAGAAATTTAATGATTGTAATTTTTTAACACATAGTTAATTTAATGCCTGTCTATTTCATTGAACACTTCTTTCATTTTTTTTATGATTCTGACAAAAATGAGGTTAATATTTCAAAATTTTACAAGCTGACATCTATTGCTTTCTTCTGCTTTTTTCTGCTTTTTTTTGTATTTTATAATAAAATTCCTTAAAAGCAATATCACAAATAAGAATATGTTTAATATAGGTGTTCAAAAATTTTAAAATCATATAAATAAAATGATATAATAAAATTCAATTATTTAGAAAACAATATGATAATCAGTAGTTTTAGTATCACCACATAATGTTTTTAAAAACAGGTTTAGCATTAGCGTATGTGTAGGCTTGTCAAAGATATCCCATTCAAGTACAGTCACATATAAAACATGTTTCTAAACACAGCCTAGGGCAGTAATAGTATTAACTAGCTCCTTGTGTAAGATTTAAAGACTGTTGCCTGAAATTGATTTTACATTAGCAAAAACTTGAATCACTTTTTAAGTCAAAGTTGTTCCTAATTATTAAGATTGTGGCTTTAGGTTGAATTAAAATTTAAAAGACCAGACCAAGTTACATTAAAATCAACATATATTATCTCAAAGATCCAAAGGCGCAGCTGCAATAATGTTCATAAATCTGTTTCTCAGAAAATTACTCTCTAGCATGAAGTCAATATCACTGGTGAAGGGAAAAGGAATTTATAACCAAACAGTTCAAGAATTTTAACTCCTAGACTGTGAACTGAGCTAGTGGAGTGGTGAGATTTATCAGACATCCACTTGCACTTCTAAGTGACTTATGCCTTCAGCTGCACTGTGAGCTTGTAGCCCTTCTGGTGCCAAGCTTCTTCAACAATTGTCCTGTAATGGAAAAAGTTTAAATATCCATTGAGTGATCATTGTAGAAAGATAAGGACTGAAACATGATCTGTAGAACATTGCTACTATGGAAATATAGAGTAGCTCCTTGGTTCCCTCTCCCTGGGTAGATAGGCTAAGCCTATTTTTTTTTTAAATCATTTTTTTAGGGGCTCATACAACTCTTATCACAATCCATACATACATCAATTACGTAAAGCACATTTGTAAATTCATTGCCCTCATCATTCTTAAAACATTTGCTCTCCACCTAAGCCCCTGGCATCAGCTCCTCATTTTGTCCCCTCCCTCCCCGCGAACCCCTCCCTTATGAACCCTTGATAGTTTATAAATTATTATTTTGTCATAT